TGGCAGTGTTAACAACCATCCCAAGCCCCATATGTTCATGTTTGATTATGTCTAGTACTCAATTTATGTCCAGATTAAATGGCAAGTGGATCATCCACTGTATAGCTCCCATTTGGACTTGTGAAGCCTCTGTACACTCTTGGTCCATGCACCCACACAGGGTTTTTCACTTATGTTTCCTAATTAGACCTCATCTTTAAGAATGTGTAGACGGGTAGAGTCTGTGCTTTATTGACGTCTCCGTCACTCCTCTGTTAGCTTTGAAGCACCTGTTAGGTGGGGCAAATCACACCATTAGTGTATTTTTTATTTTATCAATTTTTTTCACCTTTATCATTGCTATTGGTACTGTGAGTTTATTGAGCTTAAGTCATTCCCAGCGTATTTCCATCCCACTGCAACCTGACCAGAGGTCTGGACAGTCTGTGTAAGTGTCTCATCAATATTTTCAGATCATCACCTTAATAATTTTGAGCCTTAAGGACTGAGAAGCAGTGGCTCTTGTTAGTATGTAAAATTTGTGTTAATATTAGCTGTGCAGCTAAAGTCTATCCCAGTTTTCTAGCTACAGGTGACAGTGAGAGCTTCTGGTAAGGATCCTGGTTGTGGCGAAAAGTTGACGGTCAAACCACGTTTCACAGTTGACGTTGCTCTGCTCATTTATGGTGGCTCTGCTGCCGCACTTGGGTTGCAGCTAGCAGGCGAGTCTTCAGATTTGTTGCCGTTGTAAAGTAACGCAGTCGGCCAACAGCGTTATTGTTGGTTAAGTTTACCATCTATGGTTTACCATCTATTTACTGATAGCTTAGTAGGACACGCAGTAGGTCAGCTGATTACTTTTTTGCTGGACTACAAGGCTGTTGTGCTTATAGATGGTACATTTACATAATAAACTGGTCATGACAGTTGATTTTTTAAGAGTCAAGTCAAACTTGCGGTGTAAGTTTCAAGCTGCAGCTTAAAAATAATTCACTTTTGAACAAAAAATGTAACCAGTAACCGCTCAATTTCACAACCATAGAGTGGAGAAGGGACGGAAAGATAACTTAGAAGTGATCTTAAGGGTAAAGATTTAGCTAGTTTTAGTGTTTTTTACCTCTGTATTTCTATGTGCGCTTTTAATTAATTAAGCATCAACTATTTTTGACCACCAAATGTGTCAGGGACGTTTTTGTAATTTGGCGAAACATACTAACTAAGTCTGAAGCTTGTTTGGTCATAAAATAGTCACATGGATTGTAGTAGTTTTTATTTTTTTAAATAATTTTGATAGAAAGACACATGATGATAATGTAATCTTAAGGCAAGGTCATGATAAATTCAAGTGTAGTGATGCTCTGTGCCCTTCTATTGATATACTCTTCTTAAGCTGGACACTCAAATCCAACTCGATTGCCATTGTGGTTGAACTTGTTGACACATACCAGTGGTTTGTACCACAGTCAGGCCCCATCCACACTACTGCGTTTTCGAATTAAAACGGAGACCTTTTGCTACATTTGCACCTCCTGTCCAGACTACAACGATGAAAACGAAGACCTAAAACGGAGAAGTTTGGAAACGCTGCCGACCCCGTGTTGCGTTTCAAAACTCAGGAGGGCGTTTTAGTGAAGACGGGCCAAAAAGGAGGACTTTAGAAACGATGACGCAGCCAGTCTGATGCTTAGTCTGTATTTAGACGGAGATCAACTCCAAAACGCAGCGGAAACGCTGGTGTGGACGGAGATCGTATACGTTTTAATTCTCCGTTTGTAAACTAAAACGGAGTAGTGTGGATGAGGCCTCAGTCTTTGTTTTGTACTACTTCTCAAACCCAAATGAAGCATTATTCCTTATTCAGAAGCATTTTTGAGCACAGGTATTCAAGCTCACTGATGGATAAAGGCATTTCTACATGAGGCTGTCAGCAACGCGATCAAAGTAAAATGTGTGTTTTGACAGTAAGCTAAAATGGAAAAACAGAAACACTCAAAGTTTGTCTTTATCTTTGAGTGTGTTGAGGTTGTTGACAGGATAGCTGATGAAAAGGTTAAATGTTACATATAATGACGGAGACGCACACTGTTAGCAGTGCTCAGCTGTGAAAAAATGTATTGCTTAAGGGCTGAATTGGGTGTCTACTGTACCTGGAAAGATGTTGTAAGCTTACAACAAAGCACTAGTCTTGAGTTCAGAAAAGGGGGTTGTGGTGTAAGAGGGAAAGAGTTGGCTGCATGTAACTGTTCAATCTGCTCAAAATGGACACATCATTGCACCAGCATTTGACACGGTGAAAACTCTCAGACGATCTCAAGCTCCAGGTTTGCTTTTTGCTCTTACTCTGACATCCCAAAGGTTTTTACAGTACAGCACATCTGTCAGTCCCTCTCATTATCATCATTATAATTCTCTCTCAGCTTCTGTGTCTCACAATCTCAAGGGCCATTTCACTCTTTTTCTCTCTGTGCGTTCGCTCTATGCAGTCTCACCTTTCTGACTCTCTCACCCCTCTCTCCCTCTCTGCAGTGTCATTTTGTTTGGCAGGTCTTTGAGTCCCCCTGTGGAAGAGAAGAGAGGCAGAGTCCTCCCCCTCTCTCTCATCTGGCTGTCTGTCCTTTCTTTCCACCTGTACTCAGCAAGGCTGTGTTGAATTTTTCTACCAATTTTTCTTCCTGTGATTCTTTCAGATGTTCTTTTTTAAGAATCTCTGCCACCCCTCTGTGTGTGTGTTTCTCTCAGAGCTTTTAGTCTTGTTCTACTCACTCGGACAGATTTACTGAAACCGGAGAAGAGTATAAGATATTTTTATTAAATATGTGTTTTTTTTTGTTTTTTTTTTAGATCGTCCCATCTTCACCTCTACACTTTTTGTCTGTCTTGTCCCTGTAAGTAGCTGCTGGACAATAGCTGTAAAAAGTTTGCACCAAAGCAGCTTGTCAGAAAAGTGACAAATGCTAAATAATCATCAAATCAAAAGCGCTATAGTATCAAAATTAAACGAAAGTTTTATACTTCTGACCGAAAGATTAAATTAAGTGCTGAGACAGAAGATTGGGTAAGGGGATGATGAGAGTGTAGAGAAAAAGGGGAAGGCAAGAAACGACAAGCAAGTTTGAAGAAAAGCGCAAATAAAAGTCAGTGGTATGATAGAACTAGACGATGAGAACGATGTGTGTGAGATGGAAGAGGGAAGTGTGACAGAACATGAACGTGTGAGACTGAGAGGCATCGGTTGTGCTGAATAGTTGGTGAGATATGGATGAACGGGTGAGAAAGGTGTGATATTGTATAACTCAATACTGTTCTGTTCTGCCTGGTCAGGTTATGCTGGAAAGACATCAGTAAACAGTATGTATATCTACACACAGATAGACATACACAAAAGTTTGCTACATGTGTATAATGGAAAGGAAATAGTTTCAAATCCAGCAGAGTCATGGAAGAATACCAAGATCAATTTTACTATATTTACATGTAATTTTATCACGTACAGCTACAAAACAAAAGAAATGTTCCACAGAGGTTTATGATTTTTGCATTTAGCTACTAATGTTAAAAGTCTATGTGGTTCAAATGTGGTAAAAGGTTCATTCATGTGTTTAAAGACCTTGCAAAACTAAATGTTTCAGTATCACTATGGAGCGTTCACATTTACATTTATTTTTTCCAAAGCAATGTTCAAATGAGTTATAATCCAAGCCCCAGCTGATTGAGGAAAAGCCTTTTTGGGGTATGGAGGGTAGAGAGAAAGAGCTAGAGAAGGACTGTGAAAGAGAGGGAGAGAAAGAGCAATAAGAGGCCAATTTATCAGAAACTACAAACCTCCAGTGAAAATCTGCTTTAATCATCAGGTTGGCCTTGAAAAAAGTTGCCGTCGCTGGACTTCTCTATACTAGCACCTGTGTAAGCTTTTAGTCTAAAGTGTTGGCATCACTCTGCGTTTTAGAATTACATTTTCATAACGTTGACTTTGTTGTTTTTTGCAGTGCAGTGCCTCACATATGTGTGTGTACTAGTGTGCACATATTCATATGGTTTATGCCTGTTAGTAGCGTGCATGTGTTTGCTCATGTCTGTACGTTGCACACTTGTGAGTTCCAGTGTAGCAGGAAGCCTCTGGCTTTACTGGCAAAGTCCCCTTTCTTTACTCTTGGCCACTATAGACATGAAACACACATACACGCGCACACACAGGTCTATTCAGCTTTTATGTAGAGGCCCCTAGAACACTGTGTTGACAATCTCTATGCTATTTTAGGTTAGGCTAAACGCAGACTCAGTGCAATACTCAATAGATCGGGATTCCACTATATAACTCAGTTAGAGCTAGCGCGGCGTCGCACACATGCAAAAGGGAGACACAAATGGAGGCAGTTGTTAAACAGTAGACTCTGTCGCCAGAATGCTGGGCTCCTTGGACGTCCTCTATAGTGTCCTCATCCACAAGGTAACAGAAATTGTTTGTATAGAGAAACAAAGCCTCACATGGTTGTGTAAACACAATGTTGTGCCTTTTTGCTTGCTTCATTTAAAGAAATGTGACCAGTGGGGTGTATTGCATTTGGCTTGATCCCCGAAAAGCTTCCCTGGGAAATGTTTCTCCCAGGATCGTCCTTAACTTCCTGCCATACCAAAATATGGTTCATGTTTTAACATTTTAAGTAGGTAAAACATGTCTGTCTCTGCTTGCACTACTTGGGGTCGATCTGAATCTGGTGGCTTCTGTTAGCATTTTTACCCTTGAATTTGTTACCTATAAGTTTTGTTTTACATTGTACTGTATAATGCAAGTGAAGACAGTGAGTGAAGCCAACTGGAGTGGCTTTTCTTTTGGTGTGAGTGGAGAGCAAGTAGGGAATAGCAAGTAGAAAACCTGTAGTGACTGTGAGTGGAGTTGTGTAATCTTTGAACAGAATTCCTGCTGATCCACCACTTTGAATACTTTGTTCGTGACGGATGAAAAGAAGAGAAGAAATTAAAAAAATAGCTTCATTGTGTGTGTTTGCTTTTTTTCTCTTTAGCTGATGGCGGTGTATGAGGAGCAGGAAGCCCAGCAGAGGGGTTTGGCTAACACAAGCCTAGCCTCCAGCCCTGACGTCTACCAATCTGAGCTCTCTGTCTTCCAGCCAATCGCAGGAGGAGAGATTGAAGTTAATTCCTCAGCCCTCAAGTCCAGTGAGTCATATATTTACTGTATATTTGTATTGGTGGTGCCCTGCTCCTACCTTGACGTGTGGCATTTTCCCTTTATTGAAGACAAGCCCACGCCCCTAAAGTCAAATTTTTTGTGTACGGATCTACACATGTTAGAAGGGAGGTTTGTCAATTCAGAGCTTCCTTTTGAGATTTGTGTGATTTACATGTTGGTGCTTTTATTCATGGCTACACGCTTTGCACATACCTTACTTTTTAGGGATGCACCGGAATTCTTGGCCGAAGCAGAAACTGAATATAATGACAAAATTTGCCGAATATCGAACACGTACATTCAAATTTTTTCCATCCAATTTTTTACCATTGCATAAATTAAATAGGCAAAATGTGCTGTTTACTCAGTGTTTCCCACAGGATTTGGAGAGACTAGGGTGGGTGGGTCCGAAGCCTGAGAGGGTTCGGTAAAGTAAATTACATGTGTCCGTTTACTTTTAATGGACACATGCAATATGTTTTAAACTTTCTGTGAATATAATCCAATTTGTTGCCGTTTCTAAGAAGTCAGCCACAGATGGAGTGGATCTGCCAGCAGACAATTCAGCTGAACAGTGTCTGCAAACTGCGATTTTTGCTAAAATTGAGCTAAGCAAGCTATAACGTAAACTATATGCCAACACCACATTTCAAGATAATCAGATAGCTTTGTTATTTTGACCAGCTCTCACTTGCGTATTCTGTCTTGATGTTGCTTTTTAAAAAATAACTGAGATTGTATGAACCCATTCGTAAAATATATAAATACATATATATAATATACATTTTTGAGCACATTTACAAGGTTTATTATGTGTGTCCAACTGTACACAATGTCATTGCTGCAATTAGTAAATCATGCCATTCTTGCACAATCCTGCCCCTAATTTGTTTGGTGCATGTGGCCAGGAATTACACATTGTACCTTTTTACCGTACCGTTTTACATATTGTTCAAGCATGAAGATAATTGCCTCTTGTATGTTAGGTTTAATATAAACTACGGTATATTCATCCCACTCACAGAACTCTGCTCAAAGTATAATGTAGTAGCTCTCTAGAGGAAGAGCAATGGCCTTCACATCAGTCAGGGTCTGGCATTTGTCATTGCATCACAGAAACAAGTTGTTCTTTATACTATGTGTTTATGGAGTTTTGACCTCTTCTGACTTTTTCCCCACTCCATGCACCTTGAAAGTAGGTGAAGTTGTGCCAGAAGTCCCTACTCTGCTTCTGTAATTTCAAGGTTTTGTGACAGCTGGTCTTAATGCTATTTCAAAGCTTTACAAAGAAAGAAAAGTCCTTTGGGGAACCCCCGATGTTATCTTTTTAGGTGTAACCTTTAGGTCAGTGCATAAGTGGGTCAATGTCAGAAAGATGTTAAACAAGAAACAGGTTCAGTGGTTTTCTGAACTTTGATGTGGAGTTTGACTGCTAGGCCAAGTCGGTATAGCATAGTAGTAGAGTCCCATAACACCATTTTGAAGCGATCGATATATAGCTAAAAGAAATTATCTGTCTGTCTAAGTCCACGTTTGGCATTACATAATGGCTTACATTGTGTTCTTAGCTCCAGGTCCAGAGCCGTATATGTTTTGTAGACAATAGGAATGATGTTAACTTGAATTACAGTACAGCTAAAGGTCAGGGTATGATGGGCATTTTCTGCAGGACATTGATGAAAACAAGATGAGGACAGCTGCAACATTGGCAGCACTGTCTCTGAGATGTAGAATGAGATGAAAGCGAATCAGATGAGGAGAAGCAGAAGAAAGAAGACAGGAAGTGTAATGTCAAGTTGCACGACAAATTCTGATGTCTGTGTCTGCTTATTGTTACCTGGAATAGACCTATCTTCATGACCTTTTTTTCTCTCTTTCCTGGCCCCTCTTTCTCCCCCTCCTTCATCTCTTTTCTGTCTTACTTCAAGTCAAGTGCCTGTTCAGTAGAGGTGCTGTAGATGTGATTGTGAGAGGGTTAGAGCTGTCACTGTAACTTGTCCAAATTGAATTTTGCCTTAACATAACAAACCGCGTGAGTAATAGCTTGTGTATTTCTGCAGTTCGGCAAAACCTATACATTACTTCCACTTGCCTTCTGCTGTCAGCTAATCACAGATTCCACTTCCTTTAGTTATGAATTGTAGACTCCATATCTGCTTTGTTGCACAGTCTGTGCCATCCATCCAGCTTGACATTTAAACATAATCTGTCAAGATGGTTTTCAAAATGTCATTAATATGTCAAATGAAGTGTGATAATGCTAATCCGTCTATTGTAAGTTGCATTCTATCAGCAAGTTTCATTATTTTCCACTCTTGTTGTCTTTGATGATACTATTAAATTTTCTCAGTCAGCTTGAAAGATGCTAAGCAGTTAATTCAGCTCATATATATTAGAGCAAAAATCACGTTTATTGCGCCTATACTACTTGTTTTACTTCTAACGGTAATAACGGAATAGACATTTCAGCTTGTATGTCCTTCCTGAGTTGTGAAGGGGCCTTAGCTGTATGATCCAGACACTGTTAGGACAGGAAGTTTAGTCTGTTTCAGTATAGTCGCCTGTCAGCAGAGATTAGTAGTAACGTGTGACTGTCATGGTAGATTAGAGGTAACGGAGCTCTGGAGACTATTACTGTCAGTGTGAGAAGGTCAGACATAGGCCTCTATCACTGCCTTATGTTTTGCCTCTGATTCAAACCACTTGTTTCCCTCTCGCTGCCTTCGCAAGTATCTCTCAATGTCTCTGGCTCATTGATCTTGCTTCTCACTGTCTTCGTTTTTTGTCTCTGCAAATCTTTTGTCTTTTCTCATCATTTTTTCTACACCACTTTTCTTTGTGTTGCTCACCTACAGTTTTCCCCCATTTCTTAACAGACTTCCTTTAATCTTTTAAACTTCTTTTATCGTCTTTTTGATTTATCTGTTTCTTCTGTCTCTCTACTGAGGAGTTTTTCTTTACTTGTCACTTTTAACACTTGATTAAGAAGTATAGTATTGCTGCTCAAAATTAAGAATCTAACTGATTTAGCTAGGATACTTGATCAGCATCAGAATAGACAAGGTACGCCTTCCCATTGGAGTCAAATACCACTGATTATATTGGTTTTTTGAGAGGTACAATTCGATTGACTCATGTAGCTGCCTTAATTGTTATCATAGCCAGAATCTGTAGCGTAATAAAAGGGGCATATGAACAGAATAGTTACACTGTTAGATAGCCATTGGTATCAGTGGACATGGACGGCCTGCACCCTCACAGTGGAACATTCTCACCAGATCCGGTTCATGTCTTGACAGGCCCACTTCAGTCTAAAACTGGGAAGGTGTCACAGCAAATTGTAATACCATAGAATTATGTTTTTCAGCTTTCATTTTTCAACATTTTTTTTCTTTTATCTTCATTTCATTGCAGCTCGCTATATTTGAACAGTTTTTCTTTGTATCGTGCTGATTATCTTTTCCTGTTGGTCCCTTTATTTCTTATCATCTCCTCTTTTACGTCCTTTGTCCTCTGTCCATTCATCCCTCTTTCATTGCCTTTTACTTGAAGAGATGAATTGATTGGGGGTTTGATGTAATCCATACCCCACAGCCAGTCTTAAGAGCACCAAGGGTCCATTTTGTGACAATCAATATATGACCCTACAAATATCATTTAGCATGTGTTCTGAGTAGTCCACTCATTTAGAGGTTCCCTCCACACTCCCCAGCACCTTTATCATTTTATTCCCAGTGAGACTATAAGAGGCTAACATGACAATGTTCTTAATGCATATATAGATTGATGGGCCCTATGAATGGGGGTGGTAAGTTTGACGAATGGCAGCGTACATAGAGATGAAATGGTTTGAAAATTTCATATCACGATTAAAGAGACCAAAATGTGCATTAGTATATAAGTATATATAAAAACCTCATGCACAAATTATGTAAATTAATCTTAAGAAGAAACTGATAGTAATTGCAGTCCAGCAACTGGTTAATATAGATAGATAACTTTATTGTCTGTCCCGCAGTCAATAACGTTTTGTTCTAAATTAATTATACAATGTACAGTAAAGATTATGAACTGATGTGTGATTTAAGTGATTTGAACAGTGTATGTTGGTTATCATGAGCAATGAGCGGATAGAGTCTGCAGACACATGACGTATACAGCAGCAATGTGCACTGTTTTTACAAGAGTAGGTAATGCTGAGAGCTTTAGTTTACAAGTATTCAAGACTAGTATTTACCGTGTGTTCTTTAAGCACGGTAATTGAACATGGTTTTAACAATAAATCAGACTTAAACTGTAATGCTAACCATCTGAGATTTTACTGTGGTTTATCATTAAACCGGTAACGGTTTCATGTTTAGTGTTTATTATAAGAATACCTCCAGTAATAAATGTTATGTATATGCATAGCTTTCTGCAGTGTTGACTTTTTTGCATTTTCTTTTTTCTGTAATGTGGTGTGCTTTATCCATGAGCTTCTGTTAAATGATGATTTTATGCAATGGACTGGTGAGATGTGGAGAGGGAGACACTATCATGTTTCCTGCATGCACACAGAGATCTGCAAATCAGCCATGTATTGGCCATTTGAACAGAAGTGTATTCACTGAAGGGACATTAAAGGAAGGGATCATACATTAAATTCTCACACACTCAAACTTTCAGATCATGAACACATGAAGCAGTGCACACTCACATCTTCTAAAAACAACATTTAGGAATGAGCTTTCTGATGACATTGCTCTTGTGTGTAATCAACAGATATGGACATACACACATAAATGTCACAGGCTGTGCTGGCTGATGAGTTTGGATGATTAAAAGTAGTAGTAATGAAACCCTTAGGTTTCATTCACACGGTGAATATTTTTGGTTCATGCTTTCTTTCTTGTTTATATCCTTCTTATATCCTGCTCTAAATTTTCACAGACCGCCAGTCGAACACTGCATCATTTATTCTTTCTTTCTTTTTAACAAGCTAAAAATGCTAGACGTGTGTGAGTTTCCATGGAGTTAGCAATATGTCAATTATGGCATTACAAGTTAACGTGTAATTATCGCGTTAACGCATTCATTTATTAACGCTGACAATTATTTTATCTCACGTTAATGCAGTTTTTTATTATTATTATTATTATTATTTTGAAAGTCTATTGCTCACTGGCTCTGAATACACATACAGTCAAACCACAGGAGGGGTGGGATGTTGACCAGCCTGGAAATCACCCACCCGGACAAGCGGTGGAGGGAGGCTTCGGCAGACTACGTTGGGTGCACCGTGTGGGAGCAATAAGACGTAAACAGCAGGCGCGCTATGGATAGCAACCATGGTAACGGCTTCTGTGGGCTACACAGCTGTAGCCAATTAAAATTAAGGGCTACTTAAAGTATTACTATATGTTTTCTCCGTTGCTTGCATCAGCCACTATTCTGCTTTTAATGTGCACAACACAGGCTTCACGTAAAGATACAAAACAACAATAAAGGCTTATGTGCTGAAGCCCATCAGACCAAACAGATTCAGATGATGTTGAGTAAGAACAAAGTGAGCATTAGTAAAGTTGGCTTGCTGGCTAACGCCGAGCAGTTGCTAATGTTAGCCGGTGCAAAGTTGTATCGCTTTCCACATTACTTCACTAACTAATGCAACCCATGTTACTATACTGTGTACCACTGTTGATTTAGCCTGCAAGAAAAGATGTAACGGTAAAAAGCAAATTTGGAGCGATTTGTTACTAGCCTATAGTGATGCATCCAGCTAACGCTACAGTAGCTCGGACCTGCCGCTGATAACGTTCAGTTTGGGTTTATTGTGGTTCTACCAATACTTAGGTACACAGCTTCTCCACCTCTCCGTCGCTGTAACCAACGTGACCCACATAGTATATAATACTGCAACTTCACAGCGGAAGAGCCATGAACTAACACAGTAAAGTTACTTATTGCGGTCTAACTATTATAAAGTGTGACACAATCCTGTTATAATATTTTGTAATATTTTGTGTATTTTTTAAAAATTATTTATTTATTTTTCTGCTAAATGCAGTAAATGTACCGTGATCACGTAACAAGCATGGCTTAGTTCAACCTGGAGCTGATAAAACTATTAGTGTAACGTTGCAGTGGGAGTTTACCTGAGTTTCCAGTATATTGTGTGAAGCTGTCTCCCTGCCTGTCTATGTCTATAGCCGCTCTCATTGTGCCTTTTCCCCCAAGAGTGTAGAACCAATATGCAGCTCGCTGCGCTGAATGAAAGTTACGGCGCCGGTGTCGATCTGCCTCTGAGATGGGAACGTTGAAGTAACAGAGCCTGAACATGTCTGAGTGAAAAGCCACAGCCTGCATGCTGGTGTTCCTGCGTTTATTGCAGGATTTGTATATGAAAGCGGTTGTGTTTCGGATTATGCTTGCTCATGAGGTCAACGCACCTCTAGTGGCCGCTGGAAACTCCATAATGCCCCTTTAAATTTGCTTTAAGTTTTTTCGGGGATGCTCTGCCATGTCCTGATAACTATTTAGTAAACAGTAATAGATTTTAGAAACTCACAAACAGCGAGGATCAGTCTCTCCTCCAATGATCTGTGCTCCGCGTCAGGTACAAAAAGTTAAGTTCAAGACAATTCAACTTTGGCGGCGGGCGTGTGAATGAGGCGAGCACAACCGCGACCGTTTCATGGGAACGTGCCCGCTTGTTGCTACGCCTTGTTCTCGACCACTTCACCTCACTCTAACCGGGACACTTGCTACTGAACATAGATTGTTTCTGCTGATACCTGTTCAGACAAAAAACAAGAAAACAGATTCATGTATGTTAACCTGTTACTCATAAGGAGCCTGTTATGATGTTATGATCGTGGCTCTGGACTCTGATGCTAACAAGTTAGATAAAAGGTAATTAATGTTTAAGTTGAGATTTACAAGAAATATTTCATTGCTACTGTGTAAAGGGAATACTGCTGGCAAAAAGCACCTTATTTGTTTAAAGTGTTTGTAAACCACATGTTATTACACTTTTGTGTATATAGCAATGCATTTGAATTAAAAGTGCGCAATACACTACTTTAGAATTCATTATTCAATTTTGCGCATAAATCGCAGAAAATCATGTGATTAACTGCAATTAAAAGTTTTAATCGTTGCCCAGCACTAAACAAAAAGTAAAAACTGTCAATCGTATTAAATAGGTCTTTCACAAGGCTCCACATCCTGTGGTGGTGATGAGCTTGTCTATTTAAAAGCTTAAATGTATGCTTACATTTTACACATTTGCGCTCATAGTTTTGTGCTCTTTATACTTTACGTGTCTTATGATAAGCATTGTGTTCTCACAAAGACAGACTATTAGTTTATTACACTGAATGCTCGCGTTTTTGCTTGAAGCACCCTCCAATTTGGGCTGATGTAACAGGCACATTACAGTGACAGAGTGGAAATTTATTTTGTCAACCTAGCAACGTAAAAATAGTTCTCTCTCTTTCTTCCTCGTCATGCTTTGACACGAAAAGAGACACAGGCAAACTCCTTTCTGTAGTGTGGCATGACTTGCTTAAGGTCTGTATCTTGTCATCTAAAAGATTATTATTAGACATGAATTTTGCTGAACTGTGACTCCATCAAAATAGCATTAGCAGTTTTATGGCAGTCGCTTGTGTGTGTGTGCGCACAGGCATACTGTGCAGCAGAGAGACTAGCTGCAGATTCTCAAACAGTGCAGATAGAGACTTTCTCTATTCTGACCATTTTTGCATTGTTCTCTGTCTTAGTGTTTTTCTTTCCTCTGTCATATGTCGTGTTCCATTAACAGCCTGATAGGAAGTAGTCACACAGTGTGATATTAGACTGACAGAGAGCCAGGTTAGTCTGGTTTTTAATAAGGAACCGGAGGGGATAAGAGCACAGCTTAACAAAATACAGCAGATTTAATACGGATTAAAACAGGAAAAAAAGAGGAGGGGAAATCAATTAACGTTTTTGAATTGGGGGTTAATAACATTGTTGTTCGCACGCATTCAAGATATTTTTCTGCTACTTAAACTTCTGCATGTCATTATATTCCCTTTGCAGATGCTTCCTATAAATGAAGAAATTAGAAAAAGTGGTTGCTTTACAGGCTGTAAACATTTTCTATAATTATCTGTATAAAGACAAACTTTACACACATCTCTGCTTCAGTTTAAAGTAATCTTTTACTTCTCCTAGCTGCAAAACTACATTAGCAATTCTGTTGTGGAATACAGTAAATGCAGTAGGATAGACAAGCCTTATTGTGACTAATCTTAATTGTGCATCTTGCTGTAGATGTTGAGTTTGTTAGAGAAGGATATCTGTACACATTATCGCTTAATCATTGAATCAAATCAAAAGTAAGAGTGGGCAATAGAAAAAAAAAAAACACTCAAAGCTTCCTGCACATATCAGACGTGTGTGCTTGTGTTTTCTTCAGACACCCCCCTGTTGGTGAGAAGCAGCAGTGACTCAGCCCTCGGCCCCCAGCCGACAGACACTGAACCCTCCCTCAATGAGGACACCGCCATGATGGTAAGACCCGGAGGCACTCAAAAAGCCACACGGACACAGTTTGAAACACACCATATACATACTGTGTTGTGCACACCAAACAGACACACAGAGGAAGTGCATAGACGAGTTCTTCCCATGTGACTGAGGACACAAACAGATAACCAAGTTATGATGTATGCAATATCCTGCTTATATAATAATCAGTACTGAATAAAAGCTGAAATTTCCACTTGGGCTGAACTGAAGAATGAATTTATTCACTATGTTCTTTCCCTCCATTGAGCAAACCATTTTAATTGACATCCCAGAAAACTTTCTTTAACTTGTGTCAACAACAGACTCTAAATGGGAGAAACCTGGGTCTTAAAAATTGTTGACATACACAAAACCATCTACTGGTTTTAGTTGATTAGCAGGGAGCAACATGTGTTTTGTTTGTGTGTATGGGTTTACTTTAATATGACCCAGGATATTGCATTGTCATTAACATTAATCAGATAATACATTTTAAGAAGTGTGAAAGGCAAACTGATTTGTGGTAATGAAATTTCTGGTCAGCTTTTCTGTTGTATTCATATAGCTTCATCAGCTTTTGTATTGATTGTTGTGTTGTGATTTAGTCTGATAATCCTCATGGATGCTATAAGCTTTCCTCAGTACTATCATAATCTAATTTTGAATCTTTAATGACCTCATGGCATTTCCTCTTGTAGGATTCCCAGGACGCTACAGCTGGTAATGCGCAGAGAATAGCAAATAGTTGATGTTATCTTTTATACCTAATGTATATATTGCATTTTCCCCTAAGTATCAAAAGTCATTGTTTCTTCTGTTAAAGACATACATAAGTCCAACCTTACCAACAATATTTGAGTTGGGCCAAAATGATTTAAGAGATTCAAATTTTTAGTCGGACCTTGTTCTGCATCCAGAAAACCCTTTAATTATATTGTACAGATTTTTCATTGGGGAGGATATTCATTGATATAAGCATTTGGAATCGTCCTATAGATTAGATGAACAGTGACAGTGTTTATTGAACAACACATAAACTTGGTCTACTGATGCCTTAACAAGTATAAGTACTATTAAAACGTGTAAGAAGAAACTTTTTGTTTTTTTTGCCTGCTGCCAGCTGTGTGTTTCTTCGTGTAGTGGGGGGTATATGAGTTAAGGTTGGGGGTGAGTGGTGCCTCTGGTGTCTTCATGTTCTTTCTAATCCGGACATGCTTTGTCACACCAAACTCCACTAACAAAGACAGATGACTCTCTGTTTTTTTTTCTTTCTTTTTTATCTTGTTTCTCCCTTTCTCCAAAGGGCAGAGAGCAAAAACTTGCTCCCTTCTCCTGTTTCCCGTTTGCTTCTTCCTCTCCTCCTTTCTTACGTCTGCCAATCTCGTGTTTTCATCTTCTTTTCTTTTTCACACTGGTCCAAATGATTTCAAAATGAATAATTTGGGTCCGTGTCTAACATAAAATGAACACAAAATAAGCTACTGAAGCTAATGGATCTTTTTTTCTGCATTTCCTTTTTCACTGTGGAACCAGTGGCTTCACTCCATATCTACTCTGTAACATCTATCTCTCTATTCATTTTTTCTTCTTTTATCTTGTATAAAAAAAGTCCAAACAGATAAAGAGCCCTATTTTTCACCTAGTGCAAAGTGGAACACAGTGTCATCGCTTGTTTTCGACCTATGTAGTTGTAATTTTCACGCCCAGTGCCCATGTTGTGTAAGTAGCACATGTACTTGTTGTGTTGGACTTAATATGAGTTGCGGTCAGGTGCATTGTTGGCGCATTGCTATCTTGAGGCAACAGAAAGCGATTGCTCCATTGACCAACAAAAACCTGTGCAGTGTTTTCTTGTTATTGAGAGTGCACGTGCATCACAACACGCATACACTCAGCTTTTTAAACACACAGGGATGCGTAGCAGCGTTCAACCTCCTCAGTTAAATATTGTGAATTTGCTCATATATAGTTAAATAGAGTTGCTGATAGGACAGAGGACTGGGAGACGGTCGAGGCAGAGGGTCCACCAGCCAAGGACCTGCACCTGTCCCTCTTCAGTTCAGAACTGAAGAAGTCCTTTGGATGAGGGACGAAACGTCTTCCAGTATGTTCAACCAAGTCCAGTTGCCCTTGATTTTAACCTTCGTTGGATATCTTTAATCTCGGGTCAGATAATTTGGAGAGTAATGCCAGATGTCCCTATGCACTCCCCGTTGCTGCCAAAGTCACTTATGTGCTGCATTTCTTTCAAAACCTGGTGGTTTTATGACTTGTCTATTCTCTTTTTTGCTATTATTAATATTTCTTTGCGAGGGGTCATTTAGCATCCCCTGAGTTCTCTTGGAGGAATGTTACAATCTGAGTTTCCACTTCTAATTGGAGATAATTATCTTCCCCAAATGTTTTTATGTCCACTCTGGAAAGGTTTAACAGGGCTTCAAGTAACACAGAGTTTATTAACAAATTTTTTTATATACAGTGTTGCATTGCGTGTCTGTGCTTCTTCTCTTTGTGTGCAATTATGATGTGAAAATCAGTGGAGGACTATGGAACTGAAGAGCCTGGTGTTTCTTTTGAGCTTTTTAAAACACTGATCACTCATCACAGTAGTAAGATTGCAGTTGTTACTCAAACACAATGTAAATTATGTGTCTATTTTTAGGGGCATATGTGACTGAAGTGTTCGCACTGTAGAGCCTGGTAAAACCAAACGATCCCCTGTTCCCTCCTCTATTCTCTTCCTCCACGCCTTTTCCCTACCTTCCCCACCAATTATTTTGTTAACTTATCTAAGGTGATGCTTCTTGGATGGATTTTAGAAAAATACACACCTTTTCCCTCATTGAGTCTAGGGCTGCAGAAATCTCCTGGCCTACACATCATATTCTCCAGACTTAGAATAATTATTTAAAATGTTCATTCCCTCTAGTATCGCAAACTATTGCAATTGTAGTATCGGTCAAAATAATTGCAGTTGGATATCTTTTAAAAATCGTTCAGCCCCAATTGAATCAGACTACAGAGTCATGCACTGACTTACGAGAACATGGTAATAAATAATATCATAATAACAGCGTGCCAGTTACATAGAGAGGCAGTTTTGAATACTTGTTATGATAGTGTTACAGTTTCATATTCCCTGTAGGCGGTTGGACACAGCAAATCCCTCAAGTTCACTGGTTAAAGAGACTCCATGCCTGATTGGACTCTTGAGTGGTGATCCCTCTTCCCTTGAGATGCCTCACTGGACAAACATCCTTTTTTACCCAGGCTGTATTCCCCATAGAGCAACATGTTTGCAAGCTTCAGTTCTTATGGGGAATGTGACAGAGGTGGCCATACTCCCTGCTTAACGTCGCTGAGACTGGTGATGTGGTTGTAGTAGCAGTAGTGGTAGATAATGTAATGTTGTTTAAAAATATGTAAAGAGGGGCTGCATGGGGAATAAACAGAGTGTGATCTAATAACATTTCTAGTGACTTAGCAAATTTGTGACTATAAATTAGGTATATTTGCCAAAAAGTTTAACAATAAATCCTGCTGACTCCACATGGCTTAAAGCTTAATATGATCCACCAGAAAAAGACTTGCAACCTGTTCTGATTTGCAGCCTACAGCTCCATGAAACAGTTTAGCAGAAATGAAACCAGGATGCACTTCAAAATGTAAACTGCTAACAATAAACTATTTATTTTTCATGGTGAAATGTAAGCCAAAGCTTAGGGATGTAGATCATGTTGTTCTGAGCCCACCTTCCACTCCTTACGTCTTAGCTCTATTTTCACTGCACACTGTCACTCCTGTGGATGACAATATGAAGTATTCTTGTGTGTCAATTACACAGTAGGTCTGCCCAGACTGTGCACTCAAAACGAACAGTGTTTTATCTGTTGGTGCGCCTGCATGATAGCAAGTTTGTACGTGACCTCAACCACACCAGCTGCAGTCTCAGTTTGTCTTTATTACACTACATGCTAGCTCCTCAGGTTTTCCTACCATCTCATTTTACAACATTACAGCTTTGATCAGAACAAGTTAAATCAGCCTTTGTTTTACCTTGAATTTGAAATACTATACCATGGTTTTGTGCTGGTTACTAATCTACAGTGGCATGTTAAAATCGCTGTGACCGTTGATTGAAACTCAAGCCATTATAGTAAAAGAATGGGTCAAATGTGTGTCCGACATAGTTTGTACATATGAATTTGCTAACGTTTGAGGTAACAGAGGAGGTCCAGAATAGAAGAAGCTATCATATTAGCCTAGTTACACCAAATTCTCCACTAAATAGATGTGGCATGGCTAAAGCCAGTCGTGAGATAGGTTATGATGGATCAAATACGTTTCTTAAATAAGATGTGTTTACAGTTTAGCTTACCAAGTAAGCAAAATGGCAGTTAGGAGCCTAGCTAGCTTAAGTGAGGTATGAAAAGGAAATGCACAGTTCAAACAAAAATACCCCTCTTTAAGCAGATCTTCTTGACAGAGCAAGTATTTACAAAATTGTCACAAAAACACAAATAAAGTGGACTTAGCTTAGCTAAGCTCTGTTGTATCACCAGACTTGTGGCCTTTTGAAAGCTGTATCATCTCTCTCATCATGTTAGAGATCATCTAATAAAAAATATAACTCCCGTAACTGTAACTTTAGAAAATCTTGTTTGTTGTTTCTGCTGTGATTGGCCTGTTCTGATGTTTGTGAAAGAGAGCATCTGATGGTCAGTTAGTTTAAATTTGCTACTGAACAACTTTTATCAGTTTCATCCAGTAGACATCAAGACTGACAGCAGTCAGGTGCTCCATCTCAGACCTCCACTTGTGAATAATTTTATCTTTATTAATGTAGGCTTACCGTCCAAACAAGAGTCAACAAGAAATCTGACACAGTCAGGAACATATACAACACTATATCCGCAGATTTTAGTTTCTTAGCAGTGCAAGATGAAAGTCATATATTTAGTTGCAAAGCTATATATCTTAGCATGTCCTAAGTGATTATATTA